AAGCAAGTGCCCAGAAAAGCCAATAACCCAATGGTTAGAATGCTCATTTGGGCTGTTGGAAGACGCAGGTTCAAGTCCCTGTTCCAAAGGGAAGGGCAGGGAAGGTCCTTGAACCTGGATCTCCCACAGCCCAGGCAAATGTTCTACTACTGGACTATGGGTGTGTTCTGCTATGACATAGGAGTAGTCTGACTTTTATATTTGGGGGACAGCTCCAGTCAGGCCAACAGGGATACGCATCGGGGAGGGGACAAATTCCCATGCCTACCCAAATTCCACGCCTACCTTGCATACTATGCCTATGGCTGTGGGTCTCCTCCTCCTCCTCCTCTTTAATGAAAGTTATTGAAAAGTCTCGTTTTTGTTCCACATAGGAATGAAAACAAATGGTGAAACCTCAATATTTTTTTTTACACAACTGAATTCTTCTTTTCCGCCCAGCCCTAGGCATAACTGATTTTTTTTTAAAACTAGGGAGCATGTAAGGGATAAACTGATGAAAGATACTTTTGATTCTCTTTTTATTAAAATTAGCTATCTAAAGCGTATTTTTAAACCATGCACCTTTTTGATAACACACTTTTGGAAATCAAGAGAATGAACATATCAGCATGTATACCAATATTTGCTAAAGACAAAGACAGCTAACCAATCTTGAATAGTATGAAAAGAAAACAGTGGCTGTGAAGACTGAGCAAGTATGTATAGCAGCTTCTGAGTCTTTTATTAATGTTAATGTTCTGGGATAATAGAAGAAGAAACTTACAGGGAATTGTGAATAGGCTTAGGCCTAGTCTACATTTAAAACTTAGGTTGACATAGCTATGGCTCCACACCCCTGAGTGCTGCTATGCCGACATAATCTAATCCCCAGTGTAGATGTAACTAGGTTGATAGAAGAATGCGTCCATTGACCTAGCTACCATCAGTTGGGGAGGTGGAGTTCCTACAGGGATGGAAAAACCCCTTCTCTCACTGTAGTCAGCATCCGCACCACAGGAGCTATGCCACTGTATCATCCATGGCCTAGTTATGGCTGAAGTCCTTTCCCAATCCGGTACAACAAAACAACACACACTGGGTGAGTGCCCACACTCACCCCACTTTCTGGAATTCTTTTATTGGCAGTGTGAAATAACAATACCATAACAAAGCTCAGTCTAGCCTAGAGTTCTTTCTTTCAAATCCCCTAGGAACTGTCTGCCTCAGACCCTAGTTCCTTCTGCCATCTTAAATCCAATGTAGGATTAATGAGCCACACCTATCTCAGTGAGTCAGCAGAAATCCATCAGCGTTTTTATACAGCGTGCCAGCCCTGCTAACATAGTGGGTGCAACATAAGCCCCTGCAAACTGTGATAGGAATATTGCTATAGTAAAAGGAAAAGATTTTAAAATGGCTACTGCTAACAGAATGTGAGTGGTAATTCGCAGTCCCAGCAGAATGGTGAGGGTCAGATCAAAATTTCCATTTCAACTAAGATGACTCTCAATGTTTTTACGTTGCTGCCCAGTATTATTTCCAAGATGCTGCCATCTTAGCCACTGGAGAATCTGGGAAAACCTGTTTCATATTAGGGGCTGTGGGTATAAATAAACTTTTTCTTTTAAATTAAATTTAAACTTCACAAGAGAAATACTACCCCTCCCCCAAATAATTCAAATAACGTGCTGTGTGGATACAGAGTTTGCTTGTACCTTATGGCTAATGCTCCCTTGGCTTTTTGTGCCCTTGTCCTTTTCAGTATTCTGGAGGAACATTCACCGCAGTAATATGGGCCAATGTCGATCTTATTACTTTACCTGTTTTATCTTTTGTGAAATTGAGCCGTTAGTCAGAATTGGCTAAGCTGCTGCTCCAGCAATTGGTTAACCATGACGCTCCTCAAACTCATTTCTTTCAAGTAATTTGATTCCCACGTGCTCACTGAGATTGCTTTTTGTGCAGAAAGGAAACAGTATGTGTGTGGGAGGGAGGGTGGGAGTGAGCAGACAAGGGCTGTTATGGCTGAGAAATGCAGATTTAAGATAAAAACAAAACAAAAACATGTTTTAAAAGATCACATTGCACTTCGTCTCCCTTCACCTAAGTCTACAAAGCTAAATGTTTTCATGTTCACTGGATTCAGGCACATGTAGGGCCTTTTGTGCCGAGAGAGTACAAAATAGCAAGCGAAATTCCATCCTTTTGTCATTGTGTATTAGTTATGCATAAAGCCGATGTGATTGTCTTTTTCAGTAATATCGCCAGAAAAAAATGTGTAAAGTAATTAGGTTTATTTTTTTTGTAACTGTTGTCATAAAAGGCTCCTATAGATTTTAAGATAGTTCTTGAAATCATAAGTAGAGTTCAGGGTTTTTATTTTGTTCCCCAAGCTGTTTCTTTCACATCCTGGCTATTTAGTGGTAAATGAGCACCAATTTTGTAGATCAACTTCTGTTTAAGGCTAGTTAGTATGGAAGCATTTTTCTAAATAATGTACAATTTACTCAGGGATTTATAATTCCATAAAATTGAGAATATTTTATCACAGCTTTGGGCAAGAGCCCTGCAGTGGGGAGGAAAATCAAGTCTTAAAGGCAAATCTTGCTAGAAGTAGACTTGTTCTGTAACTAAACATTCCATGTATAAACAATGATAAAATTTTGATGTCTGAAATATGCTTGGCATTACTACCCAACCATTGTGTGGCCATGCAGACATGTCAAATACAAGGCAGGGAAATGCTGGCCTGGTTTTATAGGAAGAGTTTTATTAATTTGCATGTAACAGATGTCTGTTTTAAATGTCTGTTACCCAACTGAAATGAAATTCATACAAAGAGTCGGATTCTTCTCTGGGGTGCATTCGCACACATCTGTTTGAAGTCAATGTTATCAGTATACAACTAGAGCAGAATTTGACCGTCTGATAGTGTTAAGAAGAGCCCACTTTGGGTTCTGTTAGTTTAAAAAAGAACTGATCATTGGTTTGTGGTATGAGGAATTTGCTTTGATAACTTAGAGTCGTAGACTCATAGAAATGTAGGGCTCGAAGGGACCTCGAGAAGTCAAGTCCAGCCCACTGCACTGAGGGAGGACCAAGTAAACTTAACAGCATCTGTGTTAATTGTTTCAAGGACGTGCAACCCTAGGGGATCATACCAGCAAATTGCAGAGAACCCCCTTTGATCAACTCCCATTGATTTCAATAAGGGTAGAAGGTCTTTGGCACCTCTCTGGTTTTGGGCCCTAAAAGGAAAGGTTTATTCTTTAATGAGAAACGTGTACAACATTTGCATATATTGAATGTTAATACTAATCAAGTGCTATTAATGTCTGTTTGTGTTTTAACCTACTAAACTAATAGACAGTAGACATCTCATTTCTCAGTTCAAAACTGTGCACTTGATGAGGGTAAAATCCTTCTTTTAGGGGAAATGATGTTATGGAGACATGACTCAAAGCAAATGGACACTTCGTTTGAAGCATGTAAATACTTTGGCCTGTTTGGCTAACATTAAGGCACACAAACGTAACAATTAAAATAATTCCAAAGGGGTGAGTTTCCTTAAATGTCATGGTCACTGCTCTGGCAATTTAAAGAGATCCTAAAGTGAGTCTAAGGCCTGGTCCACACTAACCCCCCACTTCGAACTAAGATACGCAACTTCAGCTACGTTAATAACATAGCTGAAGTCGAAGTACCTTAGTTCAAACTTACCGCGGGTCCAGACGTGGCAGGCAGGCTCCCCGGTCGACTCCGCGTACTCCTCTCGCGGAGCAGGAGTACCGGCATCGACGGCGAGCACTTCCGGGATCGATCCGGGATTGATTTATCGCATCTAGACAAGACGCGATAAATCGATCCCAGATCGATTGCTTACCGCCAGACCCGGAGGTAAGTATAGACGTACCCATAATGTACCCTTAGTACAAATGAGAATTAGGCCCATCAAGCTGCAAGGCAATGGACAATCAAGGCCATTGAGGGGTTTTCTTTTTTCACTTTCAGGAAGTGGGGAACTGTTTCCACCTATGTGGTGTGTGAATAAAGTGTAAAATACTATACATGTACACTGATGTATACCAAACTGTGATAAAGGTGTTTCTTTTTAGCACTTTTGCCCATCTCAGTCGCATTTGACCCACCATTTTATCTCTGCCCAGAATATTTTAATAATCCAACCCACTGAACAGTTCTATTTTTTTTAAAGTACTTATCACAAAAATAGCCTATCCCTTCAAATTTGGAATTTCCTAGGAAAAGCAATGAAAACATCTTTTGGTCTTATACCTACAAACCATGAAGGCAATGAGCTCTATACTGTTGGAAAATTCTTTTCACTATCTTTGGTCTATCCGGAAATATCTGACCTTATATTCAAAATGTTATGCTTAGTAAACTCTTACATTTACAACGTTATCTTACATAGTAGATTAGTAGAGGTCTCTAAAATGTATGTTACATTTGTTTTCCTCCTTATGAGGCTCTCAGAGTTGGACTCGTGGTTTTACAGGCAAATAGATTTTAAAAAAGGTAGATGTTTAAAAACTCTTAAGATATTTCTAAAAGAGTTTTTCTATATGTTATGAAGCATACACATAATACATGTTTGTGTGATATAAAGGTTTTATTTCCAATTCTGTGGTATGACCTGTACTCTACGACTCTTGAATAATAGAGTTTTGCCAAATAGAGTTGATCAAAATATGGGGGGGGGAAATTGCCATGTTTTTTTTTTTTTAATTTAACACTTCAAAATTAAAAAAAATTGACTAGGTATATGCCTGGAATTAAAATGGGATGATATTTTCATTAAAAAACTGCAAATCATCCTTCTTTAAACTCAAAATGTTGATAAATGTAAATTTGGAAAACTTTTACCAATTGTAATCCCCAGCTCCTGCTGATAAAAAATATTGTAGCACATGACGTTATCAGATCATTTATATTTTCCGTATGTATTTATACACACACAACTAACCCATTTCTTCTTTTTATTTCCATTCTTTGTTCAGGTTTTCCAAATGAGCCTGCTGCTGTTATTGCCCTTACCACTATTAAGGAATGGTTGAACAAGAATCACAATGAGGTATGAAATAAAAAAAACTTTCCTGATCAGATTTCAGGATTACTTAGTTTGACCCCAAAATTGTGAAAGACCATAGTAATAAGTATGCAACTGATCCTTTGAAATTAGGACTATGTAAAATACAACAAAGCAGGTGCGAAACATCAGTGGTAGTTTGGACCGTATATAGCAGGAATATTATCATATTTAATAAGCTATATGGAGGCTAAAGGGAAATATATTCTATTTGAAACAATACATTTCCTGTTCAGTGTGACGTTTCTAGGCAAAGTAAAAACACATCCTCTGCGTAAAGTTGTTCCTGAGAGACAAAGTTTTCATATAAAAATGAAGAGAATCCTGTAAAGGGAATGTATATAATGAGCTTCAGTGGAACAGCTACCAGGGACAGTAGTTTTTTAGGAGCTGGTTTACATCAAAGAGCTTTATGATGAAAATAATCTCTGAGTTTGTTAATTTTTAGGTTCCTTTCACTTTATTATAGTATTACTTTTCATTGGAAACTGTCTACTTACTTAAAATTTCACACCTATGTCAAACATTAACAGACCTGAACTACTTCCACAACTACACTGTCATGACGGTTATTTTTTTTATGAAACAAAATGCTTTCAACAGAGTGGTCTCCATACCTCCTGCTCTGTTTCTCTTCCTTTTTTTTCTTCTTAACTCTGATGGAATATATTAAGCGGCACTGAACTGGAGAATTGAGCAGAAAAAAGTGACTGAATGAATAAAATAATCATGATGTCTTAAATTTAAGCTATGCCTGTTTCCATATTTTGACAGCCAGCAGATTTCAAAGTGTCTAGCATTGTTTGTTTAATACTTTTCTCACAAAATGTTTAATTTTGCATAGCTCAGGTTAGAATGGTTTCCTAAATAATCATCTATATGATATTTCAGCTTGGAAATGTATCTTTGGGGTTCTGTTTACCAAGATTGTCCAGGGATAGTAAGTGATAAATTGAGCACGGTATTTTCAGCAGCTTTAGAGTTGAATGCAAAAATTGTATGCGAAGTTTTTTTTAAAATGGATGACCAAAGTTACACTCTGAAGTCCATATTTAAGTCCCTAAAAAACTGGCCTGACTCTCCAGAGTTCCATGGGTCTTCAAGACTCCAGCAGTGAAGTCAATAGCTGTTCTAGATGCTTAGTCAGCCCTTTTGAAAATCTGGCCATTTTTTTAGGTGTCTAAACTTTGCCTTAGAGGTCTAACTTTATGCTTGTATTTTTGAAAGTCTGGGCTATTTGTATCTGGTTTATTAAATCCTAAAACAGATGTAATGGTAGAAACTGAAAATATTCCATCCAGCCCTATGCGTTTTCAGTGTTTTGCCTGATCCTATTTCAATTTTGTGCTTTTTCACCACAAATGTCAAAAAACCAAACAACCTTTCCTTTTCCAGAACTAAATCTGCATCTCACAACTTGTATGTACTATTTGCTTCAATTCCCTTCCTAATCATTTTTATTTTAATGGTGCTTCAGGGAGCCTGACTTCTTTTGGCAAAGTAGACTGCAAATTAGAGTAAAACAGATGGGCAAGAGTTCTTTAGACAAAAGCTATTTTCTCATCTTGCTCTATGGCTTAGGCTATTGTTTTTAAGACACAAAGCATATCTATTTCCCTGGACGTTATCTATACCCTCCCTTATGTTTGTCCCTTGCCTGTCCTATATTTGAACCTTTCCTATGTCCTGTTCTCCTTCTCTGGTTCTTCCTACTCCTTTCTGGCTCAGTGTGCTGCCCCAGCGCTTTTCTAGCTCCTTCAATTAACTTGCTATAATGTCCTCCCCAGGCTCTTAGAAATCCCTGTCTCTGGCTTGAATGGAGGCCTTGTTATAAGAGTTCAGAAGAGCTGTAGCAGTCATGGATTGCATTGGGAGTGCTTATCTTCTCTGTGTGTTTTACTTGAGTTGTAAACACTTTAGGGAAAGGAATGTGACTCAATCTGTTTGTAAAGTGGCATGTAGTTTGCAGACTGCATATATTGGTGTAAATAATCATTAACATTGGGAATAGCACTTGCTACCTCCTTTTCTTGCCTTCTCTAAACCAGTTCCTTCTAATTCTGAGCCTTCCAGCCTGCAGATCCCCCACCCCTTTACTTGCTCACTATAATCATCCCTTTCTTTTGTAAACTCTTCAGAGACAGGACCCTAGCTTCCTATATTTTTGTGTACCGCCTAGTGGAATGGAACCCACGTCCTGACTGGGGCCATTGTGTGCCGCCACAGTACAAATGTTTTTAACAAAATCATGTGTTACAGCATCACTACTTCTAAAGATGGACTGGAGGTCCAGCTGTGTCACTGTGTCTGTCTTGGGTCCCAGTATAGCACCTCCCCATTATATTGTTGTGTTCCCTGGTGCTTAGGAGCACATCAAATCTAAGTCCTCAATGGGATGCATTTTAAAGCATGATGCATGCTAGACTATTGTATATCAATGAATGCAACAATTCAGAAGTAATCTCTTGGGCTGTTTGTTAATTTTTGGAGAACAGGAGGGGTGCTTGATTTGGCTGAAGATCTGATTTGTGTGTGAAATCATATACTAGTAGCAGAAACCCCACTGTGGGCCATCAGTTGGTAATCACTGAAAAGGTCTAACTAGTGTTCTAGAAATTTTTTTTCTTATAAATTGTATGGTTTTCCTTAATCTATTCTGATGAGCATTTTAAAATACTAGATCAGGGGTTGGCAATGTTCAGCACGCGGCTCGCCAGGGTAAGCACCCTGGCGGGCCAGGCCAGTTTATTTACCTGATGACGCGGCAGGTTCGGCCGATCGCGGCCCCCACTGGCCGCGGTTCGCCGTCCTGGGCCAATGGGGGCGGAGAGAAGCTGCGGCCAGCTCATCGCTCGCCCGCGCCGCTTCTCGCCGCCCCCATTGGCCCGGTTCAGCGAACCGCGGTCAGTGGGGGCCGCGATCGGCCGAACCTGCCGCGTCAGCAGGTAAATAAACTGGCCCGGCCCGCCAGGGTGCTTACTCTGGCGAGCCGCGTGCCGAACGTTGCCGATCCCTGTACTAGATATTAACATGTTTATCAAGGTGAACATAAATAGATTAGCAATAAAATAAAAATATTTCTTACTATCTTCAAAAACATACTTGATTTCTGTAACAAGGGCAATCTTTAAAAATCATTCTTTGCATAAAAGTGAGAAGAAAACCTTTGACATTTGGAACCAGTTTGTGGACTCATAAATTCCAAGGCCAGAAGGGACAATTGTGATCATCTAGTCTGGCCTCCTGTATAGTGCAGGCCATAGAATTTCCCCAAAATAATTCCCTACATAATATCTGTAAGAAGAACATCCAATACTGATTTAAAAATTGCCATTGATGGAGAACCACCATGCCCCTTGGTAAGATGTTTTAATGATTAATTACTCTTAATGTTAAAAAATTATGCCTTGTTTCCTGTCTGAATTTGTCTCGCTTCAGCTTCCACCCAGGGAAATATTATGCCTTTCTCTGCTAGATTGAAGAGCCCATTATTAAATATTTGTTCCTCGTGTCAGTTCTTTCAGACTATAATTGTTTACTTTCTCTTTGTTGAGCTAAATAGATGTGAGTCTGTCACTATAAGGCACACTTCCTAACCCTTTAATCAATCCCATGGTTCTTCTTTGAACCCTCTCCAATTTTTCAACCAGAAACAGTATTCCAGTAGTGGTCAAACCAGTGCCAAATGCAGAGGTAAAATAATCTCATTACTTCTACTTGAAATTGCCTTATTTATACTTCCAAGGCTCTCATTTGCCCTTTTGGGTACTGGAGCTCGTGTTAAGCTAACTATCCGCTAGCAACCCGAAATATTTTTCAGAGTCACTGCTTTCCAGGATAGAGCCCACCATCCTGTAATTATGGCCTATATTCATTTTTCCTAGATGTTACATTTACATTTAGCTATATCAAAACATATACTAAAACAACAAGGAGTCTGGTGGCACCTTAAAGACTAACCGATTTATTTGGGCATAAGCTTTTGTGGGTAAAAACCTAACTTCTTCAGTTGCATCTGAAGAAGTGAGGTTTTTACCCACAAAAGCTTATGCCCAAATAAATCGGTTAGTCTTTAAGGTGCCACCAGACTCGTTGTTTTTGTAGATACAGACTAACACGGCTACCCTCTGATACAAAACATATACTGTTTGCTTGTTACAAGTTTGCCACGCGATCCAGGTTGCTCTGTGTCAGTGTTTACATTATTTACCACTCCCTCAATTTTTGTCATCTGCAAACTTTATTAATGATAATTTTATATTTTCTTCCAGGTCATTGATAAAAATGATAAATAACATAGGGCCAAGAACTGAGCCCTGTGGGAGCACACTGGAAGTGCAAACACTCGATCATTATTTCCCGTTTAAGTTTAAATTTTGACACCTATCAGTCTATCTGCTTTTAATCCATTTAATGTGTGCCGTATTAATTTTATATCATTCTAATTTTTAATCAAAATGTTGTGTGGTACCAAGTAAAATGCTTTAGAGAAGTCTAAGTACATTACATCAACAATATTACCTTTGTCAACCAAACGTGTTGTTTCATCAAAAAAGGCATCAAGTTAGTTCGATAGGATCTATTTTCCATAAACCCAAGTTGACTGGCATTAATTATATTACCCTCCTTTAATTCTGTATTGATCAAGTCCTCTTCCTCAAGTCAGCTGCTCCATTATCTTGCCCAGGATCAATGTCAGACTGTCAGGCCTATAATTACATGAGTCATCCCATTTACCCTTTTAAATATTGGCACTACGTTAACTTTGTTCCAGTCTTCTGGAACTTCCCCAGTGTTCCAAGATTTATTGAAAATCAATATCAATGGTCCAGCGAGCTCCTCAGATAGCTATTTTAAGACTCTTGGATGCTAGTTATCTGGACCTGCTGATTTTAAAAAGGTGTGTCTTTAGTACCTGCTGTTTAATATCCTCCAGAGAAACTAGTGGAATGGAAAGAGTGTCATCATCATCATCATCCATCATA